GTTATCTTGGGGCTCAGGAACCCAGGGTCAACTCTGTGCTCTGCCACAGATTACCTGTGTGATCTTGGGGAAGTCTCTCCATTCTTCATCTGTAAAATGGGAGTAGGAATATTTCTCGGCCTCATGCAAGAGTTGAGGATAAATACATTAAAGGTTGTGAGGTGCTCAGATACTACAGCCCTGGGGATCATATAACATGGATAGGCCTTAATGGGAGTACTCACATTTGTAAAGTTAAGGAGCTTCCTAAGTTTTGCACGATTGGGGCCTAAATTTATGAAAGGCATTGTCTAAAACAATGGCAGGTAAGGTTGCTTGCACCTATAGAGATAAAGCTGTGGCAGATTTGAGAGTGGAAAGTTCAGGAGACATCATCATTTGGAGGGCTGAATGTAGGCTTGGTCTTCACAACATCTTACTTTCTAAACCTGGAGCTTCAAATGTGATTTACTATGTAACCTTGGGCAAGTCTTTCCATCTCTGTGCCAGGTTCCATATCTGTAAAATAAAGTCAATAATTTTTTACCACCCCTTACAGAAATCCTGTAAGGATTACCATGATTAGTTTGTCCATGCTGTTCTTTGTACATGTAAAGCATTACGAAAATCTTCTGGAAAGCTGAGTTTTAAAAAAGTGAAAAGCAATCCTGAAGAAAAATATTTATAAAGCCACAAACTTTAGAATGTTTGATAACATTTCAAAATATGGAACTTCAGATGCTTGAAAGTCGGGTTAAGTTAATTTCTGCACATTTGATCCTGAATGTGCACAAAACCAGCACAAACTGCAAGATGCTCCTCTGACTGTTTTTGGATACTAAAAATCCAGAGCTTGTCCACATCACAAAATTATTTCTTTAATAGGATACACAGGGGTGCATGTTTCCATTGGATTATCGCTAATCTAATCACTACCAAAAGTGGTCTTTTCAGGTCCAGGCTGAGTGCGTGGGTCTAGATTAGAGCTTTGTGCTTTAGTCTTTCTGAAGCACACTTAGTTACAAAATCTAGTGATGCTGGCTCAATCCTGTCTCATTGCTGAAATGAAATGTTCACTCATCAGTGTCAATGATACCATTCATGTGTGTGTGTATGTGTTTGTGTATATACACATGTGTGTATATATATATTTATATATTATGCCAGTTCAGCTATTTGAGGATCTGGCTTTATATACGTGTATATACACAAACACATACACACATATATATGTGTGTGTGTTTGTGTATATACACGTATATAAAGCCAGATCCTCAAATAGCTGAACTGGCATAATAACCTTTGATTTCAAGGGAGGATCTGGCCTACAATACATATGGATTGTAATATGTATATGTTTAGGTCAGTGGCTTTCGGGGTACAGGATTTCACCCATCGTATTTATTTTGACTCTTTAGATTTATTTTATGATTATTTACACAGAGCTGTAAGTGTGCACATATGATTTAATGTCATTATAAAATACAAATAATTGCCTTTAATGATATCTTAATGTTGAAATTTGAAGCACTCAAAATCAGAAAGTTCTGAATATCAAGGATGCTCCAACAATATTAACTCATTATGCATCCTCTGATGTATGTCATACCGCATCATTGCTAACAAATAATTGATTACAATTTGCACTTACCCAAGAAAACCCAATTAGAAAATGCCATACATGTGTGATGTGTCCTGAGATGAAGTGCAGGAAGCAACGTTAAGATCTGATCTTGCTGTGGCTGAAGGCAATAGCTATATGTCTCTTGACCCTTTCCATCTCCTTGGCTATCATTTTGCTGGAGCCATCATGTTCCCTAAGTGCCTTAGAGTTGGGCTGTCTACAGAGGCACCACCCATCCTGATGTCACTTCTCAGCACCCACCGTCAAAAATGCCAAAGGGAAGGGGTGGTCTCATAGACTCAGTCTCCAGGGAAGGAGGCAATGTTTGAGGGGTCACCAAACAGCTATGTGTCATCTTCTGGTGATTCCTACCTTAGAATTTCAAATCTTGTCTGTGTCCTAGAGCTAAGCAGCTCCAGTTCCATGGAGGCTGTATATATATCTACATGCAGAAACATAACTCTGCTGCAGTGGTATTTCCAGTTTTTGAGCTGGATTAGACTGGTGCAGGGTCAAATAAGCCATGGATTCTAGGCTGATAAGTCAAATGAAAGACAAGGCATCAGGCATTAGGGGGAGGGAAAGCTCAGTGGTTTGAGCATTGGCCTGCTAACCCCAGAGTTGTGAGTTCCATCCTTGAGGCGGCCATTTAGGGATCTGGGGCAAAAATTAGGGATTGGTCCTGCTTTGAGCAGGGGGTTGGACTAGATGACCTCCTGAGGTCCCTTCCAACCCTGATATTCTATATATATATATGGAAAACACATAGCGGGATGTATTCTCTAAGGTGTTCAATGACTGGGATGATGAGTGCCAGATAGTTTCCTTCACTTTTGCCATTATCCAAGTTGGGTAGAATGAGCATGTGCAAAGAAAGGAAACGGCCCTGTACAGAGACAGCAATAGAAAAATGAACAAACAGGCCCAGGATGTGGTATAAATCTTGTTGCCCTAATAATGTGCAGAGATACACTGAGAACATTTCCTTTACACATTTTTCATCCAAAGGGCAAGTTCTGGCCCTGCATCAAGTGACAGAGAGTTGTATTATTGTAGTAAATGAAGACATTTCAGGGAAACATTTTTCTGGTACATCCACTTTAATGGGAACATGATTAAGGCCGTATGAGCATATTAATAAACAGTGTGCCTGAGCCTACTTCCACTGAAGTCAGTGATGATTTTTCCATTGACGTCAATGGGAGCAGAATTGGGGCTGGAATTTCAGTTTTGAAGCATCACTGCAATGGTATCAGTAGTTTAATTCATGAAGGGCAGAATGCAGATGTTGCTATAGAAATAAAGACCAATTTAAGAGAAAAAGTGGTCACATACTTTTGCATGGGCCCAGCTCATGAGTGCAGTTCAGAGCTTTGAAAATACCCATGCCTAGGCATGAAAAACACCTTGACTTGTATGTCATCAGGCATTGTGCATGCGTTTTTGAAAAACTGGCCATAAGAGGATTGCTGTGACCATTGGACGGAATAATTTTGATGCTAGGAACATTGAGGCCTACATCTAGGGGTGGAAGATTCTCCCATAGATAGAGGTGTTAAGATTCTTTATTATGTGAGGGGTTTTTTCTCCCTTTTTCATTTTGCTACATTCTATAATTTCTGCTCAGATGTCGCATAGGGTCATCTGCACTGGTGTCATCAGCAACCACGTAGCGCCCCATGGCTATGGTGCCACAAAGCCTTCCTGGGGCCGTTTCCTGACATCCCAACAATGCAGTGGACTGAGGCAGTAGCTGACATTACAAAGGTGCTCAATTGTCTTAAGTCTCCCATTCTGCTATCATTTGTTTTTTGAAAAAGAAGCAGCTATTTTAGAATATAAAATCCTTGCCAAGCCACGCTTTCCTGGGTTCCTCAGATTAGTAGCCAGCTCTGCCTTTGTTTATAGACACATAGATACTGTTACTAATCAGTTTTTACATCGAATGCTATTGCTGTTTTAACTTGTACTCCAAAGAAAAGTTCTATAATCTGGCAATACCGTAAATGTCTCATGTTAGGGGAAAAGGTAGTGAACTATTAGGATAAATCCTAATTGATGTTAATGGATCGCATCAGCACATTTGGTTCCTTTCTTCCTAAATGGCATACATCTATGGAATGTTTGAAATGTAAGAGTTTGATCTGAGTAATGGTCAAAGTCAAAACTGAGAAAGGGAATTTATTTTTCACACAATACACAGGTGGAATGTGGAACCCATTGCCACAAGGTATCATTGAGATCAAGAGGTCTGCAATGTTACAAAATATATACTGAATTAAATCTGATCCAGCATGGCAGTCCCTGCCATGTATAAGTACGTACATAGCCAAATGCTGCATTATAATATTTCTTTTCCTGTCTTTTATACTCCGATCCTGTTATAGATGCTTAGGCACTACAGTGATGTGTGCCATTTAAGTGTCTAGATAAATAGTTTATATTTACTTGTTTTTGTTTCTTGGTACTGCTAATATTATGCCTGATGTTTGCATACTCAAAGGGGTACATCTTCAGAAGGAAGGCCTCCCTTTCATTTTCACAATTTGCTCTCTCATTTTTGTGCTCAAAAGTAAATCCAGGGTGCAAATCTGAAGAGTTGCATCCCTAACTACCCAATCGGGGGGCGCAAATCAACAACCTGCTCAGTTTTGCACCCTGGATTTAATTTTGAGTACAATGCAACTACTCAGTTTTGCACTTACAGCCCATTATGTGGATCCAAAAATACAGAAGCAATGAGAGAGTTTTGGTGTCAGCCTTTCTGAATATACTCCCCCCAAATGTACACTTTTTAAGATCTGTTTGAGATTAGGTATCTGCAGCGGAAATGAAGAGGGCAAAGCTCAACTACCTTGGAATATGGCAACAGAAGGTATTTTGGTAAATGTGCTCCTCTCCGAGCCCTGCGTTTGCCCATGCAAGCATGTGCCCAGTGTGTTGCTGTCTTAGGAGACCATCTGTACTGGACCTGTTTGGTAGATCCAGCCCTGCTGTTATGTATGTTTTCCCTAGTGTGGCAAAGCAGCATATCTAAAAATGCTACTATGCTATGAAAAGCACTGATCAACTGGCACAAATACAACATACTCAGAAGTGTATTGTGGTACCGGACAAAGGCTCAGTGTCATATCGAGAAGTGCATTTTGGGGGTAGAGGTGGGAAGCAGGTAGCTCAGTTCCACTCTGTTTCTAGTTTCTTCAGCTCTGCAGAAGACCACCGTCCCCTCACGTTGTTTGAGGTATATTATAAAAAACAGCTGAACTAGACAGGTGGCTTTCTTTAATCATTTGGAAGGATTTATGCTGAGTTAACTATATATCTATAACAACGAGTATAAAGATACACTCTGTGGTTACTCAAAGATTCTGACCTAAACATTTGTTTCATGTTTTAGCACCAAAATTGGCAGAGAAGAATAAAATGTCGAAAACTGTTATATCCACCTGAAAGAAAAAAATCGTGAGTAAAACCTATTTCCTTGTGTGAAGCTTTTCATTAGAAAAGGTAGATCATACCATGCCAAAAAGAAGAAACCATGGGTTATGCTATTTTCCTAACATATGGGGAGATTTTGTTATGCCAGGGGACCTGCAGATCAGTTTCTGTGTGAAGAAGTCAAGGTTTGATTATAGTTTCTACATTATTATTTATAGTTTAGCAGTCATACACACCACGTCCTTGGCTGTGGCATTGCAGTTTGCTCCATCTATGTCTGCTTCCTAAATTTATTGATCTCATTAGTAGATAAAAGTGACAAAGATAGCTCATAATACTTCTGAGAAATGTAAAACCATTAGCAGGTCATTGTCAATGTTATAATATGTCCTTTTAAGCTGCTTAGCAAACGGGTGGCAGCCTATGATACAGGGATTAACCTGTGCCAGGAGTGACTGAGTGGAGTACAGTGGAATGGTTAATATTCAGCCTGCCTGTGAAGCTCTGTAGCTGCCACATGAAGTGATATAGTGAAATGATAAACAGAAATGCATTAAAAACAAAGGCAATGGAAGTTTTTCTTCCCCGTTCTTTGTCTTGCTCTGCTTAAGGCATGAGGCATAACAGGTTTTAGAGAATGAGTCTGAAATTAGAGTCGTCTCTTGGAGTTGAATTTTTGTTGGGCTTGCGAGACTCCTGGTTTTGCTCCCTGCATGTTTGATGCCCTTGGGCAAGTCACAAAGGCCCATGTTCTCTAAAGTAGGTGCCTAAATCCTAATTTAGGCATTTAAATAGGGTATATACTGGGTCATTTTGGATCAATGTGCAGAGAAATTGGCCAGCCCAGCAATGGAAGGGTAGTGCTGCCTCATGGGATTTGGGTTTGAGACACAAACTTGCTCCCTTGATCCTCAGCTAGACGTGCACATTGGGGAGTTAGGAGGGAAGGGGGATTGAGATGGGGAGGAAGCACCTTGTGACTCTCTCTAGTGTCTCTGTCCCCGTTCGGCCAACTGAAGTAGTATCAATACTTCCTTGTTCCTTTGCTGGCATGATGATCACTCTAATATGTCCCTGTGGCGAGGAGGAGTAAAAGAGAGAAGAATGATAAGATTTTAGAATTCTCAGAATCCGGTTCACTGTTGTCCTGCGTTATATGACTTCACTTACACTCACTTTGCATTGGGGAGACATGTTACCATTCTCATTTGGTAGCATTTTATGCCGACTTTGCACAGGAGGAAATGACTACGCCAGGGCAAGGCAGCAATGAATCAGCCCTGAATGGTTGTTTGTAGACTCCTGCAAAAGACAGTAGGAAGATAAACATTATTAAACAGTCATTTATTTCTCCTGTCCTTGAGCACATATTGGTTTTATCCATTGGCAGCAAGTCGGGCACAGGAGGACAGGACTCCCGGGCTCCATTCCTGATTCTGCCATTTCTCGCTGTGTATCCTTGGACAGGTCTTAGCCTTTCTGTGCTTGAGAATATGTTTCTGTAAATTGGCATGATGCTCATATGGTATCTACCTCCTGGAGGTGTTTTGGGGCGTAATTAATGTTTTTAAAGCACTTAGAATTCCTTGGATTTAACCTGCTAGACGGTTATTAATAATTATACAGTAAGTAGCAATTCTCAACCAGCTGATCAGGTACCAATCTGCTGCGATTTTATAGTAACATAGATGTTACTATGTTTATTACTGTAGCACCTAGGAGCCCTAGTCATGGTCCAGGACCCCATTGTGCTAGGTTCTGTACAGACACAGAACAAAAAGATAGTTCTTGCCCCAAAGAGCTTACAATCTAAGTATAAGACACAAGACAACAGATGGAGACAGACAGACAAGGGAGTACAAGGAAACAATTAGACCATTTTGGTGAGCATGATAGGCAGTGCTCTCTGCCATAATGCCTATAAAAAAGTTGACAATGGCTGCTTGTGAGCTAAGGATAGTTTTAAGACGTCGTTTTCTACTTGATTTAGCAAAACAATCTTTAAGGTTTAATGGGATATTTCCAAATCTTGGAAATACACAGGATGCATTCAATAAAGAATTAAAGGATGATAGCATAATGAATAGAGCTGTGTGGAGAAAGGTAATTCCCTTTCATGGAGGATTTTGATATTTAAAAATTTGGTTTCATTTAAGTTAGAAAGGAAAACAAAACATTTTGAAGTTCTCTGTGAAGGGGAAAGCCCTGGGGTTCCCAATTCCAAGGCAGTCTACCTGGCTGGCTGCTCTGGAGCTGCAGACCCTGGAAGCCCTGCCGTCTCCAGCCCACAGGCAGTCTGCTTGGCGGGCTGCCCAGGAGATGCAGATGCTGGAAGCCCTGTGTCCAATTTTCATGCCCGCACTTTAAAAGGATGTTGACAAATTGGACAGGGTTCAGAAAAGAGCTGCAAGAATGAATCCAAGTCTGGAAAGCTTGCCTTACATTGAAAGAATCTCAATCTATTTAGCTTATCCAAGAAAAGGTTAAGAGGTGATTTAATCACAGTCTTTTTAGTACCTACATAGTGAGAAGATTTCCAATAGTAAAGGAATCTTTAGTTTAGCAGACAAAGGCATAACAATATCCAGTAACTGTGAGCTGAAGCTAGACAAATTCAGACCAGAAATAAGATGCAATTTTTTTTTTAACGGAAAGGGTAAGTTACTATTTAAACAGCTTACCTAGGGATGTGGTGGATACTCAGTCACTTGAAATCTTTAAAGCATATCTTTCTAAAAGACATACTCTGGCTCAACTAAGGGGGGCTTAATGTAGGAACCACTTGCTGAAACTCTGTGGCTTGGGCAGAAGGTCAGACTAGATAATCATAATGGCCTTAACTTTGGTGAATCTATTAATTCTTTCCTTTATGGTTATAATGAACATTCTTTGTTTCTCCATGATGCTGGCCCAAAGAGCAAATCTCTGCTTGTCGTTTTCTAGACCAAATCCTGATATGCACAAGATCTTGAATACTGCTGATGGACCTCTGTTGGTTTTGCCTGAAAAAGGAAATCCGTCTAAAATAAACAATGATATTTTAGCCCTCTGACAGCTTCTTACGCCAATCCTGGAAAGAAATGGGAACATTTTCCAAACATGCAAATGTTCTGTCCAGAAGCATGAGTATCATTTTCAGTTTTAACAACTGCTTCGTTATGTGTCACTCCTTATAAGTGGTGTCTTACAGTTGTTTCAAAAAGACACTTAGGGACTTTTCCAATAACTAAATAAATTATATTTCTTGATACATGGATTTACCAAGCATTGTGTTTTATGTGCTCAAAGCACTTTATGGTCATTAACTAATTGATAAATTCATGAAAGAGGTTTATATAACAGGGTTGACTGTGATAACAGGGAACTGGGCTCTATAACTCAGGAGTTCCCTTCCAGTCCTATGTTGCTAATTAATTCTCTCAACTGCCCTGTCTGCTAGGCAAGGCTGTAAGTATTATTACCTCAAATTTATAGATTTTCAAACTGTGGCTGAGATGAAGTGACTTGCTCAAGACTACACCATGCTACTGGCAGAGCCTGGATTAGAATTCAGGACCTCCTGACTCCCAATCCGACGTTAATTTCTCCAAACCAAAATGCTACATTAGCTACACAACAGGAACAGCACTCTTGTTAGTATGTTAGAATATTTCATCTGCAACTAGAGATGGTCAGAAATATTTCAACAAAACAGAGTTTCATTAGAAAATGCCCATTTGTCGAACCTGAAATGTCTTGTGAAAACAGGCTGGGTTGGATGGACTTTTCATCAAATCACAGGGAGGGTTCGAATGGAAACCTGTTCGGCAGGTTGTTGGGGAGCCCGGGCTTCCAGTGTCCATGGCTCTGGGGCAGCTCTGCTGTGCTGGTGTTAGACAAATAGTCAAAGAAACCAAGCAAACTAAAATTCTACTGGGTAGTATATGGGCTTGTCCACATGGAGGTGTGATTTTTAAAGCTCATTAAAGGGCTGCGCATTAACTGGGCCATGTAGACCCTCCTGGTGAGCACTAAAGGTTCCCTAGAGTGATTTACATTAAAGCACACCAGCAGGATCTATATGGACTAATTATGCACAGCATATTAGTGTGCTTTAGAAATCATAAACCCTGTAGTGTGTATTATCCCACTGTGTAGACAAGCCCAAGGTGTTTTAATTAAAAATACATCAGTGTTTTATATAACAAACAAGTTTTCCTGCCTCTTTGGGGGTCACTTAGTAGGTTTGCAAAACATGGGAGAGTGAGAGAATATCCAACTTAAAAGAAAAGAAAAAAAGAGGGTCAGTAAGTAAAAAAGAATGAAACAAGAAAATAAGATCCTAGTGTTTCTGCTGCAGATTGAAAAGAGCAAGGTGTAGGTGTTGAGATGTGTGCACACTTCTGTCTCTCATTATATGCTCCCATATCTCATTCCATTTCATGCTCCCTCTTGAGTTGGTGACAGTGATCTCTGCACTGAGTTGTGCCTCAGAGGCTTGGAAAGATATGAAGAGCAGGAGCAGGAGCAGTGCTTCAGAAGGTGAATTTAGTAGATCCAAAGGAAGTAGGTTCTACAATGTCAGTGATTGGCAGAACCAAATCTCTGGCACTTCGAATACAAGACTGATCGGGGTGGCTATTTGTGCATTTGTTGGACAATGAAGGTGGAGTCAGGGTATTGTATAACAAACACTGTTGAACTAGAAGGATATATTCCCTGCATATTTAAAATGCAGATCCAAAGACTGATGTACATCTGTCCACCTCGATTTCTCCTTGTGGCAGGGGCCTCCAACTTGCTGGAACAGCTTGCCTATTGTACAATGCCATGTACACGTATGGCATTTTAGAAATGAAATAATAATGATCGATAACAAATGGGTTCCAGATGTTAAGACTCCTCTGTGTTCAAACACTTCACTCAGAAAAGAAGAGAGTATGAACTTTCCCCCACATGACGCTGTTAACAGCTAATGAGTGTATTTAACTTTCTCTGAAATCAGAGAAGATGGCAATGTGGGGACTCAGGTGGAGCAGAAGCAAGAG